TTCTGGGCGGCTGACCTCATAATTTTGAAAAATGGCAAGCACTTATTCGCTGACCTCGAGATAAACCGATGCAAAGCTGCCACCCTTCCAGTTAACCTCTGTATATCTTTTACTGACTTCGGTGGTTCCATCTCGGCAATTGCTCTGATCTTCTCTGGATTGACCTCAATCCCTCTTCGGGACACCATGAAACCTAGAAACTTTCCAGACTCCACTCCGAAGATACATTTGGTTGGATTTAACCGCATCCTGTTCTTTCTGAGGTTGTTAAAGGTTTCATCGAGGTCGGCTAGATGGTTTTCTGCCTTCAGGCTCTTTACTACGATGTCATCCACATACTCCTCCAGATTCTTGCCGATCTGAGCTCGGAAGACTATGGTTACCATTTTCTGATAAGTAGCACCGGCGTTCTTTAAGCCAAACGGCATCATGACATAGCAATAAATTTCATCGCCAGCATAGAACGAGGTCTTTTCTTCGTCTTCGGGAGCCATCAGCACCTAGTGATACCCAGAATATGCATCCAAGAGGCTTAACCTCTCATTGCCTGAAGTCGCTTCAACTAATTTGTCAATGCTCGGCATCGGATAGCAATCCTTGGGGTAGGCGTGGTTAAGGTTTGTATAATCAATACACATTCGCCATTTACCATTTGCCTTTTTCACCAGGACTGGGTTAGCCACCCATTCGCAGTAATCAACTTTCCGGACAAAACCGGCTTGTAGGAGTTTCTCTACCTCTTCTTTAATAGCCTGAAGCCTCTCCCCCCCGAAGAGACGCCGCTTCTAGGCTACTGGTTTCTTTAATGGATTGGTACTGAGCTTGTGTTGACATACTGAAGTCGGAATGCCTGGCATATCTGCCGAAGTCCATGCAAATACATCATTGTTAGCTCGGAGAAAAGCTATCAGTTCTGCTCTCTCCTCTGGGTTCAATCTAGTTCCGATCTGCGTCTTTCGGCTCGGATCTCTGTCATCAACGAGCACTTCTTCAACATCTTCTACCGGAGCAGCTCTGGTTTCATCATCCGGTTGATTATCTACAATCTCTACACCCATAACCTGCTGATGATCAGGAATTCGCTGGGGAATGACCTCGGGTGTCTTATCCTTGCCCTTCGTTGGTTGTGTTACCGAGGTGATATAACAGTGTCTGGCCACCTCTTGGTTTCCTCGCAGTGTTGCTATTCCCATAGGAGTGGGGAATTTCATGCAGAGATGGGATTGGGAAACCACAGCTCGGATTTCAGTTAATGTGGGTCGGCCAATAACAATGTTGAAAGAGGAGGCCATCTTGACGACGAGGAACCGGACTGAGGGGGCTACATAGGTCCGACCACTCCCAAAAGCCACATGGAGGGTAAGAACTCCTTCTACCGGAACAGGTTGGTTGTTGAAACCATAGATAGGACCATCATACTTCTGCAACAATGCTGGGTCTAGTCCCAAACTCTCGAAACAGTGGAAATACATGATGTCTGGTGCACTGCCGGTGTCAACAAGGACACGCTGTACTTCACAGTTATTGATCATGACAGAAGTAACCAGAGGATCATTGTGGGGTGTAACAACTGTGTCGAGGTCGGCAGATGTGAAAGTAATGGGTTGATTCTTCCATTCAGCATCGTCAATCTTCCGCTTCTGAGCTCGGTTTTGATGTTTAAACTCTCTAACATACAACTTTCACTGCTTAGAGCTCAATCCACCTGCTTCAAGGCCTCCCGTAATCATGTGTATGTTTTAGCTGGTGGTGGGAACAGAGGTGGGGCTTGCTGATATCCCACACCTTGTCTATTTGGGGGATTGCGGACTCCTTGGGGCTGCGGCCTCTGCTCTCTGACAAACCGCGACTGTTCAGCTCTCTGAACATACTCATTCAGCATTCCCTTCTGAGCTAAACTTTCCAGTTCGAACTTTAAGCTGTTGCACTGCTCTGTAGTATGGCCGTGATCTTGATGAAAATCACAATATCTGGTGTGGTCTCGACTAGCAGCAGTAGTTTTCATTGGGCCAGGACACCGTAAATCCATCTTATTCTTGATCTGCATAAAAATTTGTGACCTCGGCAGATTAAAGGGAGTCCAATTAACTGGAGGTTTACCTGCAGACTGTTGCTGGGGTGTTGAGTTCGGCCTTCCGAATCTCGGTGGGGAGGTCAACATCGGA